AATTGAGACCTTAATGTACGAAAGGGAAGACCTTTCCCTTGTGTCTGTGTGTGATAGCAACAGGTATGTTCTAGTTGCCTTATCAAACCAAAGAAATGAGAAATTCCCCTTTAAAGGTGTGTTATTATTTTAAATCTAATTTCTAGGTATTTAAGTCCAGTGTAAAAATTAATAAACTCTTTTTCTGTAGTATCTCTATGCTCCTAGGTCACTGTGTGTAAAGATTCCAGTCAAGTTTAGAATCTGCTGCTGTGCTCAGCATGAGAGGCAAGATTTTCTTATGAAGAGGTTATACCTTTTCATTAGACCAATTGATATTTACTTTGTTGTCCTTGCCTTGATTTGCATCAGGGGACGTTTGGATTGGATATTAGGGGAAATTTCTTCACTGAAAGGCTTATAAAGCATTGGAACAGGCTGCCCAGGGAAGTGGTTGGGTCTCCTTCCCTGGAGGTGTTTAAAAGACATGTAGGTGTGGTGCTTAGGGACATAGTTCAGTGGTGGATCTCACAGTGTTAGGTTTACAGTTGGACTCAGTGATCTTAAAGGTCTTTTCCAACCGAAATGATTCTATGACTTGAAAGATATGGCAAATCGTATAAACTTTGTAGCTCTTTATAGGTGACCTGGATTGCCTTGTTTAGGCTAAGGTCATGCTAACTAGCTTTTAGTTACCCTGGTGTTGCCCTCAGTTGATGTAGAGAAGCTGTATTCCAGTGTCCATCCACTGTCTGCTTCCTTCACCAGCATTCAGACATGTCCTAGAGTCTAGACTGTGTTCAAACTAAAACAAAAAAACCCCACAGGTTTGTTGAAGCTGCTGGACCAAGCTCACTAATGATGAATTCCACTGATCGTTTGCAGCTAAACAGATGTTTTCCCAATCTTAACTTACTTTCTTTAACAGAATTTTATTAAAGAATTATATGAGGTTAAGAGCTTATTTATGTGTTTCTTTTCTTGGATGTAGTTAAAAAGCATAAAGCATTTATAGTCTTGGACTTTGTCCTGTCTTCATTGAAACATTGTAGTTAATATGCATGGGAAAAGATGTTTCATTTTGAGAATCAAGGCTATTGCTCAATAAATTGTCTTATTGTCTTAAGTTGTCATAATATTCTTTAAAGAATGTTTCCAAAATATTGGAACAAATACAGAAATGAGATTATTGTGCCATAGAAAGGAAAGAATACACGAGCATTTGTCTGCTTAATCAACCTTATCATTAAAACAGCTATGTCAGCATCCCTTTGTACTTCTCCTTGGCTACAGGGCTAAAGTAGAGCGGGACACACAGGGTTTTCTCAGCTTTAGTAGCTGACCTATAAAGCTATTAGAGTCATAGGTTTTAAAACTGGGACACAGACAGCCATACAAATATTCTAATAGTCTGTGCACCCAGAATATATGGAAAGTCTGTTTACGGACCGCAGGTGACCATCTTTAGAAAAGGAAAAAGTAGCCTTTTAAAGTTACTATGTAGTACTTGAGAAATACTGGTACAGTAGAAGGATCTTTCAGTGGTGAATAGGTTTGAATGGGACGAGCAAGCTCTGCAATGAGGAGTCTGGGGAAATGAGTATGCTACAAAGGCCTTCACTCCCACCCCTCTTTCCAGAGCCAGGCGGCAAAACTGGCTTGCATTCAGGTTCAGTGTAAGCTTGGGGAGAGTAGGGAGTCTGGAAGTCTTGGAGGGCACAGTAAAAACCAAAAAAACCCAAAAACAAAACAAAAACCAAACTGGTAAAAACCTTTTACCATGGATCATTCCTGAAACCTACTGGTTTGGGAATGTGTGGGAAATGGAACCATCCTTATAGGACTGGTTATATTACTCTGGTATATTTATTAGGATCCTCCTGGGACGTCAGATGGGAAAACGTTTAGTATCCAATGCAACCTTGTAAGACCTATATGGCCCTGTTCTCAGTAGTTCTGGTACATAACAAGTTAAAATGGATACTTCTGTAGTCTGCCTGTTACTTTTGTCAGTTGCTTTTAAACAGAAATTTTATTTATCATGAAATTTGTATACAACATTATAAGAAGTTCATCTTGTGCTAGAGGCAGATGCGCACTGGATTAATAATGCACTGTAGTTGAAAAATACTGCTTATGTGTTTTAAGCTTTTCCCCTATACATTCCCACTTCTGAGGGATAGTGCTTCTTATTTGGAATAGATGTAATAATCATTAATCTTTTTTAGGGACCACAAACTGAAAACATATGAAATGGCACTTGATAGGGAAATGGCTAATTATTGACACATTTTTCCATAGTTAGAGCTGAAGTTTGTATTTGGTTGACTAATATGAACAATGTAGGAGATAAATACCTATTAGGACTGCTGTATTGATGAAGCTTTTAAACTTGCCAGGATTTAATGAGGCATTCC